GTCCTGGCCCCGCCCCCACTCACTCTGCCAGCAGCATCAACCCCTCTCCCACCCGCTGGCCCCGCCCCCGCGGAGTCCTGGCCCCGCCCCCACTCTGCCCCCAGGTGCGCCAGTGGCCCAGGGCATCTCGCACCAGTCTCCCTCCTCGCGCCGGGGCCCACTGCCCCAGCTCTCGCCTCTGGGCCAGCCGCTGCCGCCACACGCCCAGCACGGCCCTGCAGGTCCTGTCCCAGGCCCGGCGAGCGGCCAGCTCTCTCCGGGCCCTGTGGGTGGTCGTCCAGTGGCTCCAGCCGAGGATGACGCTGGGAAGCGGAGTCCATCCTGAGGACGGCCACTGCCACCCAGGCCGGTCCAGCACTCCCCTCCCTGCAGCCTTAGAGAGGGTCCGCGGGCTCCTCGCTGTGTCTGCCATGGCGGGGGGCGGATTGCTGGGGCTGCAGGGCTCAAACGCCACTCAAGGGGCAGAGACAGGTCGTGAGGATAAGCGGGGGCCCAGACCCTCCGCGTGACACGGTGCCTGACCCCTAGCGAGGTACCCGGCCCTATACTGTGGGAGATGAACACGCGCTGCCCGGGGGTGCGTGCGCCCCTGCCTCGCGGTCCCCAGGGGGGCAAGTACGTAATCGCCCACACAGGTGCAGAGACTGAGGCACCGAGAGGCTCAGCATTGTGTCCAAGGCCACACAGCCAGCGAGGGGCAAAGCCGGGCTGGACGCCAGGCCGCTTCAGGCGCGGGCTCCGAGGAAACGAATGCGCCCCAGGTGGTATCTCTGGCACCATCGCCTCCCTCCTCCTGCAGGTGCCACGGGCAGAGAGGATCTGAGTTTGGGCCCCAGAGGACCTAAGTGGGAGGCGGCGTCCCCTGACCGCACGGGTGGCTGGGGCAGGGCTGCTGAGCCCACCGCATGGTGGGCAGCTCGGCTCACCCAGTCTGGGGGATGCCTACCGCCTCTGGAGGCTGTGCTGGTGCCACCTCGCGGCGCCCAGGGACTGCCGGGACCTTGCCTGCCAGAGCACAAGGCACTGCCCCTGCTGCCGCCTCCTGGCTGCCCGCAGAAAGTCCACCCGGAGCGTGTCCAGGCCCGCAGGGGCCCTGGAAGCCTGGGGAAGGAGGCGTGGAGACCTGGGTCTCCCAGCTCCTCGCCGCTGCCCCCCTGACCACGCCCCTGGACCTCACCTTCTCCAATAAGCTCTGGGGTGTGTTGCAGCCGCCCAGGGACTCCAGGGCTGAGGTGGTCTGGGTGCCGCCTGGCGTGGTGCCCAGACTGCACGCCCTCGAGTGCCAGGCCCTCAGGAGGCTCCGAAGCGCCTGCTGCCTCAGGCCCTGGAAGAAGGAGCTACAGGAAAGGACGGGTGATTCCGGGGTCCCGTTTCACCCACGGCTGGGGGGGCTACCCCCACCCGGTCCGAGCTGGAAGGAAGATGCCATATGTCAAACTGGGGCTGGAGCCCCACAACATCTTCCCAACCCCACGGCCAGGCTGGGAGGAACCCCCACGCCCGGGCTCCCACCCAGTCCAGGGCGGCTCTCAGAGCGCAGTGCCTCTGGGCCTTAGTTTCTGCCGCTGAATAATGGGACAGGTGGGGGCGGGGAGCAGAGCTCGGCTGCACGGCTCCTTCAGGTGTGTTTACTCCATGCCCAAGGCACCTGCAAGGTGCGGGCGGAGAGGAGGAGGCCGTGGTCCTTGCCACCGGGGGCTGGCACCTGCTCAGGAGGTGGGCAGTGGCCTCCAGATTCTGGGCAGGGGAGCCACTGTCCGACCTCCCCACCGGGTGCTAGCCACCCTGGGAGCCTCCCCATCCGTGACCCCACCGCCCCCAGGCTCTCTGCGCCATCACAGCCGCGGGTCCCTGGGCCTCCCCAGCCCCGCACACCCGCGGCCAGCGTGCGCCAGGCCCCGTGCTGGACCACGGAAAGAGCAGCACACGGTCCATTGCTTCCAGGGCCGAGCACGCGCCTGTGCCCACCGGGCCCCCGCCCACGCCCTGGTCACTAGCTCCGGGCACCTGCTCGGCCTGCTGGTGCTGGGAGAGCCGTGTTTTCCAGAGCTGCAGCGCCCTGCGGAGGGCCAGCCTCCGGCAGGCTTCCTGCAGCGAGCTCCGGCCTGGCTCCTGGGGGCGGCCGCCGCCTGCGGCCAGGGAACAGGGGAGAGCTGTGCTCCCTGAGAAACAGCCACCAGACAAGTCATCGTGGTCCCAGGGACCTTCCTCTGCCCAGACAGCGGTGGCTGCGCCTCGGTGTCCGGCACCCACCGCCAGCGCCCCAAACCCTCCCTCCCGTGCCAACACTTCAAAGATCTCATTGTCCCCTGTCAGCCTATGACTGGGACAGGGTCTGTGTCACCCTCAGACTGGAGGGGGACCCCATCGGGAGGAAGATGGGAAAGCATCTGTGCCTGGAGGAGCTCACAGTGGGGGTCAGGAGCTCAGCCAAGGCCTAGCTGCTCCAGGGCCCCTGGCTAGACCCTCCTCGGACCAGGCAGGAACCCCCAGAAAGTTCCCAGTTCCATCAGCTCCCATGACAAGAGCCACCAACTCAAAGGGAGTCCTCTGCAGTGGGACTGGGGGTGCTGTTTCCGGGGCGGGCCAGGGAGGGCCCCTGGGGCCGCCACTTGCTCACCTGCCTGCTTCCAGCAGAGACACAGCTGGGTCACCTTCGCCCCATCCGAGGCCCGGAGCTGCTTCATCTGCACCCACTGCCGCAGGCTCATTCTCAGGGTCCCCGTCCGGTGGGCAGCCAGATGGCACCGGAACCGGATGCCCCGCTGCAGGAACCGCTGCCAGGCCCTGAAGCACCTGGAACAGCCGAGGGGAAGTGCTGGTGCCAGTGACGCGGACGGCAGCTCCAGCCCGCTCTGCACCAAGCATAATGCTGAGATGACCCAAGCCAGTGAGCACGACCCTAGGCCAGCAAGCCAGGTCCCCCGGGCCAGCGAGCATGACCCTGGGCCAGCGAGACAGGTCCCCCGGGCCAGCGAGCATGACCCTGGGCCAGCGAGACGGGTCCCCC